AGTCATCATTTATCAACATTGGTTATTTTGATGTCTCAGATTGGGATTATAGATTAGTAGATAGAGACCACACACCCACCCATCCCAGTCTCATTACAAGTTAGATTTAAAGTTCCCACTTTATTTTAATGGGTTTTTTTTGTTGTTGTTGTTGTTTTGCTTTTTTTTAAAGGTAGCAGAAGCAAGGTGCCCAGCTACACAGAGTAGAAGCCAGGTTGTACGTATGCTGGCACAATTTCCCAGGAGCCTCAGGTGCCAAATGGGATCACAGAGTTGGTGATGACACTCTCCATTGGTTCTAATTTTGTCTCCTGTTACAGCCCTTACTTAATTGAGTCTTATGTCATTATTTAGGAAAAATTAACATGAACAGTCTTGACCCTAACAGAAAAAGATAGCCACGTTTCCTCGTTCTTGAGCCAAACTTAGCACATCAAAAGTGGAGTCAGAGCTGTCTTGTGTCCTGGAAAATGCAGTTCTACATAGGCTGCTCTCTGGCTAATGTAATTTTATTGTGTATGAGAGTTTGGTTGGAAGATCATGATTATAATTTATTTCCATACAGTTATCACTGAATTATGAATGTGTGTATTTCCTGGTTAACACAGAATTAATTCCAGTCATTCCAGATATGATACTGCTAACTGATGAGAAGGAAATCTATTCCTTTCTCTCCTAGCGGGGTACCCAGTTCAGTATGGCAAACGACTCATAAACTTTTTTAAACTATTCTAGCTCAGTTTGTGCTGAAAAATTGTCACTCTCTTCCTTTCTTTTGGGGAGTGTTACTATGGACACATGAATTTTTTTTATTTGATGTTTTACAATAAGTTATCATCACTTGTTGTGATCTTCGAATTTTCATTATGTCCCACAGCTGGCCAGTGGGAATCTTTTCACCTGTCATCTTGGCATGGCTTCTTCTGGGTGTGGGTGTTTCCCTTGCTGTTACAACAGAATTTCCCCATCTCACCTTGTGCTTTCCCTGCTGTCAACTTGCAAACAGCCATTTCTCTAAGGAGTCTTGGTTTATTTCATTAAGGAATAATATTTAGCAAACCCACTCCTGAGACCAAAGGTGTTCATTGCAACTGGAATGTTATTGTTTCTAAACCTTTTCATTGACAAGAGCTTAGGTGAAATATGTATTTTAATTTGAAGTTCATGTTCACATTTCCAATTCAAGAGAACATTACTGGGGTTTTTCCTTGATTTCTTTGATTTTCTAATTGAATCTCCTTTCTCTCACACTGAAAACCTTCGTTCCTAACAACATTAATACATTTGTTTTGTCCTACAATATGTATAAAATTACTTCAGAATCACTCTTCCAATATTCTTACCAATAGTAAAACAGTTGAATGAAGTTAAATATTACTTTGTATTTTTTTTGGTCTTAGAATATATTCCCCTAAGCATGGTCAATTTACTCTTTCCAAGTAATTTAAAGTAGTTGGTCTCTGTTGACAATGTTACCAAGTTGGTGTTTAGATACATTGTTTCAGATTATTTTCAAAATTAGGATTTGCTTTTTTAATGTTCTAAGTTCTATTTTGAACATGTAGAAGGAATGTTAACATAATTTAAAAATGAAACTATATAAAAAGGTATATTCAGAGCAGTTTTACTTTCTCCACCCATTTCCTTTACCCGTTTTTATTATTTTCTGTTTTATCCTTCTAGTGTTTCTCTTTGCAAAAATAAACTCTTAGGTGCACACATACATGTGTTTGTGTTAATTTATGTGTGTGTGATATATGCATTCCCCATTCTTCTACTAAGTATAATGTTCTCTACCTTCCTTTTTCACTTAATATATTCTGGAGATTACTCTGTATCAGTAGGTAGAGATCGTACTTTAAAAAAAAAAAAAAAAAAAAAGCCAAACACAGGGCAGCTGAGTGGCTCCGTCAGTTAAGCATCTGCTTTCAGCTCAGGTCATGATTATCAGGGTCCTGGAATTGAGCCAGGATCATAGTTAACTCATCCAGTTCCCTGTTAATGCACATTTGAGTTTCTAATACACAAGTTGGGTTATTTTCAAAGTAACTTTTCTAAAATGTTTAAACTGTTCAGTGTATTCTCACTGCCAGCAATCCAGACTCTATACAAAGGGCTCTAGTACCTAGCCTTTGCATACCTTTTCAACCTCATTTCATACCACTGTTCTCAGTGTCTTACAGATCTGATGTGACTTCTTCCTACCTTCCTACCCTGACCAGCCCATTCAGTATAGTTTTTTTCTCCTTGCTATTATTCCTTCACTCTGTTTCCTTACAAGCTGTTAAAAGCAATCTGAAATTACCTGGTTACCTTCATTTAGGCAGTATCACATAGAGCTTGGGTTTTGAAACAGGCCTCCTGATCCTGAATCCTAGTTATATGACCTTTGACTGTTACTTAGCACTCTGTGCCTGTGCCTTAGTTTCCTTATCTGAAAAAGGGGATAATAATAGTAGTTTCCTTACAGGGCTCTGTGAAAAAGGAATGGTCAGTAAATAAAAACACTTGTGTAGTTGCTAGCACTTCCTAAGTATAAAATAAATGCTGGCTATGTTGGTATTTTTATTTAGTTGTCCATTGTCTTTCTCCCCTCAGTAAGCTATGTGACAGCAAGGAGCTTGCCTGAGTTGTTCCCCACTATAACCTCAGGACTTGGAACATTTCCTAAGAAATAGTAGGCACTTTCATATTTGTTGCTAAATGAATAATACTTGAAGTTCAATTCCTCTTCCTATGAAACATTCTTGAAGATTGGAGACCAAAAGAATGCTCTCTCATACACATCATATGCAGTTGTCAAATTCAACTCAGATTTTCATCAAATTTGTCATCAAAGGACGAATGCCTATTATTAACATGTATCTTGGAAGTTTTGGCCGATTATTAAAATCTGAAACAGAAATAAAAACTTACTCCTATCAGAAAAAAGACAGAATTACCATATTTGCTTTGATGGAATTATATATCCATGAAATCCAAAAGGATCAACAAAAAAATCCTCTTAAAATTGTTGAGAGTTTAGTAAATGACCAGATTTGAACTATAGATAAAGAAATTATTTTTCAGTATACCAGTAATTATCAGTTAAAGCCATAATTGAAGAAAAGTAGTGTTCTACAAGAGGAGCAACAAATGCAGGCTACTTAGCAATATTCCTAACCAGAGATTTTTGTGGAATGTATCTTTGCATAAGGAAAAATAGAAAAGTTACTGAGAGGTAAGATGTTTATAAAAATGATGACACACCCTGTTTCCAGATGATAATACTGAATATTGTAGAAACTAAAATTCTTTCAAATTATATCACTGTAATGTTGATATATAAAAAATGTTCAGTTATTGAAAAAAAACAAACTCATTTATACTTTTTAATAAATCTTATCAAAATTATTTTAAAGTTTATGTAGAAAATGTTTGAGAATGAACAGAAATGGTTTGATGGCCACTCTTTAACAGAAATGCTTAACACATTATCTGCTATCAACTAGGGGAGTACAATACTCCTACAAATCCAGTGACTTTTAATATAGTAATATTATGTGTGAAATACTTCTGAAGTTACCCAAGTGTGCTGTAAATATCTCACTAGCAGGAGAGTGCATGGTCTACATTTACAACAAGGAAGCTTAGATACAAGAGAGGTTGTAATTTACCCAGAGTTTCAGGACTTGTCAGTAGATACAGCATCAAAATTATTCTGACAACTCTCAGTAAATTTTAAATAATGAATGTAGAAAAAATTCCCTATTTAATCTGTGTAGGGTCTGTGATGACTACCTTATTACAGTTTGCCTAGGATTTTCTGGTTTTAACACTGAAAATCTCATGTTCTAGGAAATATGGGCAACTCATTATGGTTGATAACCCTCATACAGTTCATAGAAAAGATGCTTATATCTGTAAATATTATTTCTCATAACATGGAAGGATCTGGAAGGCAAATGGCTGATCTGATCCATAAAACCCATCAAAGGCCATCTTGGAGTTCCCCAGGCCACATGTTCTTTTGATACGCAGAGTTCCTACAGGAGGCTTCATCAGTTCAGGGGACTTAAGATTTGGGGTCACTCAAGGATCTTTACATAGTAGGATTCAGTAAGACTCCCAGTAATCGTTGGCAGAGTGAGTAGGAGGATTGAGGCCATTGTGGCTTCTCTCTCACAACTAATCTCTGAGCTTATACTAGTTGTTATATGTTGACTTTTAGAGTAATTTTTCCTTTAGGCTGTGCTTTTCAGAAGTCATTTTTTCCAGGGATTTGTTTGTTTTCATTTTTTTTTTTGCTGTTGTCTTTCTCAGTATATGGATCAGTGGGTATATTTTACTGCATAATAATGTACTTATTTCTTGCCTATATCTAAGAGGAATTATGGTGACATATTAGTATGTTATAGAAGTATGTTAATAGACTATCTGAGGTTTTTTATATTGTATATGTGTTTTATATAGCTATTAGTTTGACAAGTGTGTTCTATATCTTAATGGGATTGTCCTCTTTATAAAACAAGAAAGAGGGATTTATTTCTTTTTTCAGTTTTTTTCCCCAGTTAACAAAAACTTTAAAAATTCTAACCACCACGTAAAATATTTTAGAAATTTACTAAAAATGTAAACCACATTTACACCATTTTAGGTCTTACCTATTACAAAGATTTCGGAGTCCCATTCTTAATCCTGTAGCATCCTTGGGTATGGGTTGGGAAGATGGCTGGTTTACCAATCTTGATTTATAGATCACAGATGCTATTACTTAAATTTGCTGACAGTCTCATCAAGTAGGATCACAAGTTGGTGAGAAGAAGGCATAAAATTCTGATGTTATTTATAGAGCAACTGTTCTTAAACCTCTGCTGAAATTTTCCTACAGAATATAAAGTGTTCTTGTAATAGTTTGTTTTGCAGTCAGCCTGTTGAGATCTCTGTTGTTTTTTCACAGTAGGTAAAAATGTAACTTCTTGCCACAACTAAGGTATTCCCTCTTTGTTATTATTTTTTAGTGTCTAAAAAGCACGGCAAGCTCATTACTTTCTTACGCACATTCATGAAGTCTCGTCCAACAAAACAGAAGCTGAAGCAGCGGGGGATTTTGAAAGAGAGGGTGTTTGGTTGTGACCTGGGGGAGCACCTTCTGAATTCAGGTTTTGAAGGTAAAAATAAAATTTATAATCTCATAATATAAGCTTCAATTTCTCCATATCAATTCTCTAGAATCCATTTTGAAGCAGATTACACAAGCAATATCTATTCCATTTAAGCTCAGCTGCACAGTATCGAACTTTCCACCTATCATTTGAGTTCTGAGATAACAGAATAAAGAAGGTTTAAGAATGAACTTTAGCGGGGCGCCTGGGTGGCTCAGTGGGTTAAAGCCTCTGCCTTCAGCTCAAGGTCATGGTCCTGGGGTCCTGGGATCAAGGCCCGCATCGGGCTCTCTGCTCAGCAGGGAGCCTGCTTCCTCCTCTCTCTCTGCCTACTTGTGACCTCTCTCTTTCTGTCAAATAAATAAAAAATATCTTTAAAAAAAAAAAAAGGAATGCACTTTAGCATCAGAGATGCTCATGGTCTGTAGGATGAGTAAGACTTTCCCACAAAGGAACTGTTAGACTTCCTTATTTTTGTATCTGTCCAGATAGCTTTCTCAGCCAGTTTTCCTCTCACATTTTATTATAAATTGTTTAAATTCTATTTCAGGAAAAAAGTCAAAGTTTGAGACTATAAAATACCAAGACCAGTCTCCCAATTTTTGTTGCTAAAAATTTAAATTTCTTTATAAATTAAATTCTGATTCAAGAATTCAGTGGTTGGATAAATGGATGGAGGGGATAAATGGATAGGAAGAAAGGAAAAAGTTAAAATATAATTACATAATATTTTAAAGTCTAAGTGCAAACAGAATAATCACAAGGAAGAATGGTATATTTATATAGTATATACGTAGTTGTGAAAAGAAAGGAGATATAAATATGGATAGTTAGATATAATTATATAATGTATATAATCCTTCTTTCTTATATTTATTCTGTTTTAGTTTGGACTTTAAAATAGTATCCTTATTCTATATAAAATTGATTTTGTACCAGATTTTTCTAAGATGAAAGCTCCTTTCAGAGTACTGCTTTGCTAAGTGACTCATTCTTTGAATTGTATTCCTAATGAATAATTAACTTTATAGAGGATTATCCTGTTAACGCTTTATAAACTTTTGAGCACCACCCTGTTGGAGCGAGTGACAAGCCGGACCTGTTTCTTCCACACAAAGTGTTGTAAGAAATCATGTAGGAACCTGACAAGGCATTTAAAAAAAAATTCTTTAAGTGATCTCCGAGGCCAGGATTACTCAGAATGATCTTACAATATTTCAGCTACCACAAACCATAATGTTTATAATTGAGTTGTTTAAAGATTATATCACAGTTATCTAAAGAACTGATTTTTTTTTTAAAATCTTGTCACATAGTACTTTTTTGTAGATAATGTGTCATTTACCTAGGCATCCTTAATTATAGAGTTAAATGTTTTTTGTTATCTTAGTTTCTTTTTTCTTTTGTATCTCTTTTTCATTTTTATTTCTTTTGTATCTAATTTTGTTCAGCCTTGCTTGGATGTGATATTAATATGAGGGAGCGTTTTCTCCTTTGTTCTGCCATGCTCTTTAGCTTTCACACTTCAACTCAGCAAGTTTTAGTTGTACTTAGAAGTTTCAGGGGTATTTCCATTGTTAGTATGACAGGAGAAGACAGATGCCAGTATCTCATTTCTTTCTGAAAAATAATAGACGTAATAACTACAGTGTTCATGCATTCCCTAACTATACCTTTATTCTAGTGGAGCAAAGAGTTTTCAGGTATCATTTATTTTTTTATTTTTTTTTTCATTTTTTTTCATTTATTTTTTTATAGGACTTGTTTTATTTGTTGCACAATTTGAAACCAAATTTCCTTAAAATGAGATTTGAAATGAAATTGTAAAAAAGTAAGAACTTTGTAGAAAGCTTGGTTCTCTTAAAACAAAAAAACAAAAAAACAAACCCTTAGAGGTGGTACAAAATACGAAAATTTAAAAACTCAAGGTGAGAAAATGCTCTTGCCTGAACATATTTCTGTGTTTGAGCAAGTGGCTTTTTAAGAAAACTACTAGAAATATACAGAAAAAATTTTTTAAAGATTTTATTCATTTATTAGAGAAGAACACAAGCAAAGAGGAAGGGCAGAGGGAGAGGGAGAAGCAGACTCCCCGCTGAGCAAGGAGCCTGACACTGGGCTCCATCCCAGGACCCTGGGATCCTGACCCGAGCTGAAGGCAGACTCTTAACTGACTGAGCTATCCAGGTGCCTGTAAATATACAGAAATTTTATAATCAGAGCACACAGGGGGTGAGGGGGAGACAAGGCCCACATAACCCTGAAATTAATCCTTTAGCTAATCATATTTTCCTAACCAAAAATCATAATGCACATTCTAACAGCTAATACTGTACCAATGTATCCTGGCCCAGAAGCCACCAACCTGACTGGAAGTCGACTCTTTCATCCTCTGTATCACAGAATGCATGCATGATATCTGGCATATAGAAGGGATTAATAAATGACTGATGAATGAGTGAGTGAGTGAATGAATGGATGAGAAAAGGGCAGAAATGAAACTGCAGCTGTCAAGAAAAAGCAAAGACCAGTTTGTGTCCTACTTAATCGCATACTTCTCATAGCTATGATTCTAATCTTAAGGGTCATCAGTTTCAACTTCGACGTGTGCTATGTTGCCATGATGATATAAATACTAAATAAAAGTGGATCAGACATGTATTATAGGAGAGTGTGGGGATAATTCTTAAAGTCCTATCATCTTTCGGAAGAACCAGTTTGGAGGTTTCAAGCTGTGTTTTGACTGGGCCGTTGTTTGCTATGCACTTGCCTGGTTTGTTAGATGGTTTGGAAGGAAACGATAGCTGATAGGATGCCTTTCTAACTAGGATGTCTTCTAATACTGTGTTGGGTTCCCATATTGCTTTCTTAGAGGTTAGTGAAAAGAGAAACCAAATCTTTTCTTTTTATCTGCTGATACTATTCGTCAGTTTCTACACTCTTTTCTTTAGAATGAAAGTTTGTGCTTTTCTCTTTCATTTTGCTACCCATTTTAAATAACTGTTTCATTTGTCTCTCTAAGAATTCTAAGTAATAGCGTTGTTCAGTTGGGTAATTTTATTTATTTATGTGATTAGTGGACATTCAGTCTTTTTACCTAGGGAACCTAAAATGTAAAGAAACAATTCAGGTGTTTTCCATGAAGTATTATGTTTGTAGGACCTTAGCCCTATTATCAGGGAAAGACTTCCAACTCCCTGTGTTTTTGAAGTTTGCCTACCTGTTTGGGAGACTATAAGCAGGTATGAATTTAATTTCACATGTTTGTGAGAGCCCCAAGAGAATAATCTATACTTTTTAATGGATGGTAGCTTATTTTTGTGAAGATTATGTAATATATACTAGGAGAACCTGATAATACAAAAAGAAAACCCTGTATTCTGAAGGGCTTTATGTAGCAGGGTGAGTTAGCATGCTAATTTGGAGCATACAGAATGAGAAGTATCTTTTAAGAAAAAAATTAAAGCTCTGTGTGCCTTTCTTTCTTTGAGTCATTATGTTAGTTACCCCAGTAGTCTCTAAATATATTTGCTTCGAAGTAGGTGATAGAAATTTTCCAGGTTCCAATTCATTTTATTTTACTTGTAGTTTGTAAGGATAGAAACCTAAGGCACTGAGGTTATCATTGATGGAACAGTATTAGAAGCAGGACTCAAGTTCATGTAAGATATTTTATATTTTACATAACAGTTTGATGTAGAGATTGCTCATAATATCAAAATGAGTCCACAAAACATAATTGGTACCTCTGCCTGCCCTTCATCTCCCTCCACCTAAACTCAGTGCCTTTCTTGTTACTAAAACTCTTGGACATCTTTAGCGGTAGAAAGCACACAGTTGAAAATGAGTACAGTTTCTCATGAAAACTAAGATTTCCCTACTCTGCTGACTTGGTCCTATAACTTTGTGGGGTTCACAAAGGCACTTATAAATTAATTAATTTGTTAATTTTGTACATTGTTTCAAGACATGCTCCTGGACTTTGAATACACAAAGATGGATGAAGCATGGTTTTTCTCCTTAAAGCATGACAAATAAAGAGTAATAGTTGGATAAACAAGCAAGTAATATTTCAAAATAACATAGTTCTTTGGGCTCCTAGAATGTCATGCAGCTCCTTCTCCTTGGGGATATCACAGAAGGCTTGCTTAAGAGGTGCAGTTCACTGAGGTTTTCAACAATAGCCAAGTGTTCTTTATAAGAAGGTGATAGTAGGAAGAGAGACCAGGGAGAGGAAATTGTTTTTTCTCTACCAGGAAATTGAGAGACTTAGAAAATGACTGGTTTGTATGGCAAAAGATGAGACTTCAGTTGCCCTAGAGCTGTGAAATATGGAAATATGGTAACAATAAATAAATGCAACTGTGACGGACCTTATACTTTAGGCAGTCTTTTGCCATGGTTAAAAATCAGCTTTCTCCTTGGACTGCTTGAGTTAGAATCTCATTTCTGCCGTTGTTTCCTGCTTGCCCTTAGGTAAAACTTTGTTAAGATTCAGTTTCCTCTCTATATGATGGGGATAATGATAGAGCTTTCTTTTCCTGTGAATTTCTGTGAGAATTAAATGGGAGCATCTATTGTAAAAAAATTACCTTGGCACATATTACATGCTCAGTAATATAGTTGATTTAAAAACTTTTTCAAAGCTAGGGAGTATAAATTTTAAATGTAAATTGTAGGATCTGACAGAATTTAAAAGATAGAATGCTGGAAGAACAGCAAAAGGCAGGAGAACCAAGAAAAAGTCTGTTATAATAATAAAGTGGTGTTATATGTGATAACTAAAATACATTAGTTAAAATTAACTTACTAAAATATCTGAATTGAATTGAAATATCTGTTTCATCCCTTGTGTAGTAGTTTTCTGTAGATCAAATAATGTTCTCCAAACCTTCCTTCCAGGGATTTTAGCTAACACTCTCAGATGAAGATAGTAATTAAATCTGGTAAATTCATCATTCTGCATTATAAGACAAAGTTCAGATTTCAGCTACTGTACAGTTTTGAATGATTATAAAAAATTCTTAATTTTATACCTCAAACAGTCTTTTCTAGACTATAGACCCCCAACATCTGTCCATTTGTGTCAGGTACTCAGTGAGGTGACCAGAGAGAGGACCCTTCTTTTCTTTCTACTTATTGATGAACTGATAGTATTTAATGTAAAGCACTTTTAATGTAAGGATAGGCAGGAAATCAAAAGATTCCTTCTACTTGAAGTTGCTTTGAACTTTGCCTTATGTCAGTGTTTGGTTTATTGGATAACATTTAAAATTAGCATTAGCTATGAAAAGATGGAAGAAACTTTTCAAAGTGAGAAATTGGAGCACTTCTAGGCAATTATAGTGTTGGAATAAGCATTAACTTTGTATATCCATTTTCTATGTATGAAATTCTGCTGAAAAGCTGTATATATATATATATATATATATATGCATATATATATATATATATATATATATATATATATATACATATGTATATATACATATATATATATTTTTTTAAGTCTGGCATGGTTTAGGACAGAACAGTTCATGTTAGTGCTGTAACATGACCTAAGCAAGACTGCTGCGGAAGACCTTCGAGAGATTATCCTGATAACATACAGATTCTTTCACTTACCTAAATGTAATGGGAGAGAGCCCGTCTTGATATTCAGGAACCAGTTGTCTAGTTTCGATGTGAAGATAAGTAAATATGTCCTCATCACTTTTTGTAGTAGGTTAATCTCTGCCCCTTATAATTTTAATTTACAGATTTTGTTTTGCTTGGGAACACTAAGACATTCTCATTTTTTTGTGACTTGTTGAGATGGGATACTCCTGGTGTAATCCATGTCTTTAAAAATTTTCTTCAGTGCCCCAGGTTCTTCAGAGCTGCACAGCATTCATCGAGAGATATGGCATTGTGGATGGAATATATCGTCTCTCTGGCGTTGCCTCTAATATCCAGAGACTACGGTAAAACCTCATTTGGCATTTTCTTTTTCATTCCTACTGTGATTTATTAAAATGAAATGATTTTTAAAAAATAGTCACATTGATAACCATAATTTTCAGTAATACAGTTGAGGTAAAGTAGGAAATCATATCCATAGTGTTCTTTGTAAATGTTTTCCTGGATCCCATTTCTCATCAGTTGTATCCCCTTAACGTCTTCAATACTTGTATTTTGCCTCACTGCAGTATTTGAAGATTTACTAAATTTTGAAGTTTGAATCCATGAAGACCATGAGAAATGAAAATTTACCCTGCAATAAATTATTCCTTAGTTCTTAATTACAATCAACAAGTGAAGCATTCTGTTGAGCCACCCTGGTAACCCATGAATAAATCTCACTTGATCAGGGTGAATGACTTTTAATGTCCTGTCAGATTCATTTTACTCATGTTTTATTGAGAATGTTTGCTTCCGTATTCATCAGGGATATTGGCCTATACTTCTCTATTTTAGTGGATTTTTTTCCTCTGGTTTTAGAATCAGAATAATGCTGGCCTCATAGAATGAGTTTGGAAGTTTTCCTTCCTTTTCTGTTTTTTAGAATAGTTTGAGAAGAATAAGTATTAATTCTTCTTTACATGTTTTTAGATTTCACCCTTGAAGCCATCTGCTCCTGGACTTTCTTTGTTGGGAGATTTTTGATTACTGAATCAATTTCATTGCTAGTTATCAGTCTGTCAAGTTTTCTGTTTCTTCCTGTTTCAGTTTTGGTAGTTTTTGCCTCTAGGAATTTATCCATTTTTCCAGGTTGTCCAAATTGTTGGCATATAGTTTTTTCATAATATTCTCATAATTATTTGCATTTCTACAGTGAAACTTTTTCTAATCTCCTTTGACCCCGGTGCTGTAGTGTATGCTCAAGTGTGTATGTCTTACGTATTCTACATCCTCTTTCCTTCTCAGAGACAAAACTAGTGGTCTCCTTTAGATGAGCAATAGATATTTTATTTTTGCTTAGCCTCCCAGATTCTAATCTGTCCTCAATATGTTATTATCCTTTATTTTTCACTGTGGTGCGTGGTAATTGCCATTATTCCACACAGATTTTAGTATTCTAATTGACCACAGAGCTCATCTCTATTTTCAGGAATGCATGTTTGGAAAATACTTAAGTTGATTCTTGTGCTAAAGACAGTGCCAGCCTTAAGTTTCAGATGCAGCAGATCTCATATTCATTCACATTGTCCACATATACTAATGCTCTAGGTTGTTAAAGTAGACCCATGCCTATAGATGAACATTAATTAACCTCCTGGGAGAATGAGCCTCACCTGCCTTAGTATTCCAATCAGAACTTTCATTTCACTCATTTTACACTATAGATTTTGCTGGCTAGTAAATTTTAGTTAGCTAGAAGTTGCTTTATATTATTTCTGGCTCCTTTACCTTTCTTCAGTAAAGTATTTCTGAACTATACTTTTGTACCTGAGGGATTTCTTTACAGAGTTGCTCATGGACCAGCTGCCATTCAGCCCTAGTTTGCAGAATTGCCAGAATTTTGTATATTCAAACCATTAGAAATTAGGAATTGTATTTTCAGTTTTCAGATTTGTGTTAAGAGCTGCTTATCTGGATGCATTTCAGAGATTGTTGTCCATTTTAATTTGAGAGCTGTGCCCATAATTCGTACTTAGAAAAATACGTGTCTTATGGCCAGACATCCAGTTACTGCTGAAGTCCAAATAGAGTTTACGTAAAATATAATCATTTGAATAAAACATTAACTTTGCTTTCTGTTTTAAACCCTATATTTGCTTTTTCTTCAATAAAATAATTTTGTTTTGTCTGTCATCTCTTAGACATGAATTTGACTCTGAACATGTCCCCGACCTGACAAAAGAACCATATGTTCAGGACATCCATTCTGTGGGCTCCCTCTGTAAGCTGTATTTTCGAGAGCTCCCAAACCCTCTGCTTACCTACCAGCTGTATGAGAAATTTTCTGTGAGTAAAGTCACTTTTAATCAAATTCTCTTTGGAGTTTCGCTCTGATGATTTTATTCAAAGTGTATAAGGGTGGTTTACATGAGTAAGAAATAGTTCTATGACTAAAATATGTCCTTTAAAGAAAACAAAAAAGCAGTTATCGCTAGCTAGTCTATAGTCTTAAATGTTTTCACATTTTCTTTCTTTTAGTTTCTAACTTTGATCCACTAATCTTATCACTGTTAATATTGGTTACCATAAAGTTTTTAAAAAATTATCTTTTAATAGATTTCAATGTCCACATAGTATGAAAACAAAGTTTACTTTCTTGATACTCTGTGTTTTCTTGTTGTTCAGCATCAAAGAGTAGAGTGAAACTGAATTGTAAGTGAAGAACTTTCATTTTTTACCAACAAAGACTACTGGTTTATTTCATATTGTGATTGTTGCAGGATGCTGTTTCAGCAGCAACAGATGAAGAAAGGCTGATAAAAATTCATGACGTCATCCAGCAGCTCCCCCCTCCACACTACAGGTAAATCATGTGTTCTAAGATATCACCCAAAAGTACAAGTCAGTTGATGCAAAGAGTGGTTTTTTCCTTTGAGTTTTTAACTATTTAAATTTCCATGGAGTTCTATATAAACTTCCATTTATTCAAACATTATGTTTATTTGTTGTTGTATCCCAAGGCCTGGCGTAGTGCTTGGCATATGATAGGCACTTAATAAATGTTGAATTAATGAATGAATAAATGAACAAATGGATAGTTGACTAAACCTGGTTTTGTTGTTTTCTTTGTCTTTTGAGTCACTGAGAAATATTGGGGTGTGTGATCACAAGTGTGAATATTTGACTTGTGATTGCTTGAGTCCAAAATATAGACACAGAACTAGATTCCTGTTTACTGGATTCCTTTTTTCCAGTTCTCTTTTCTTTTTCAAAAGATGTCTAAACTACATAGAACCATATCCTCTAATAGTTGTCTCAGAATTCTTCCTCAGGAGACTCTCAGATGATCAACAGAACTATTTTTGGGGTGTTTTGTAGGTTTTGTTCTTATTCATTGGTTTTGTTGTTGCTGCCTTTTTTTTAAAGATTTTATTTATTTATTTGACAGAGATCACAAGTAGGCAGAGGCAGGCAGAGAGAGAGAGGAGAGCAGGCTCCCTGCTGAGAAGAGAGCCTGATGCAGGGCTTAATCCCAGGACCCTGGAATCATGACCTGAGCCAAAGGCAAAGACTTTAACACACTGAGCCACCCAGGCACCCCATGTTGTTGCTACTTTTTAAGACTTAGTTTAATTTGTATATTAGTTTGGACTCTCAGAATATTTTTGCTCATATCTGAAAAGACCAGAATAAAATTGAAGATGACTGCCGTTTAGTGAGAGAAAGAAAACAGTATAAACCATAGATGATGATATGCAAAAGATGATATGCAAAAGGCAAAGGTAAAATTTTAAGATTTCAGTTACTGACAGAAAATTAAATGCAGTAGATGGTTTAGTAGTACAGAAATTAAATAATTTAGTGCTTTCTTTTTCAAAATGACATAGTTTATATATATATATTTTAAAACTCAGCACTAATTCAGCACTAAAATTTTTTTTAATTTAGTTAAGTAATCTCTATACCCAACACGGGGCTCGAACTCATAATCCTGAGATCAAGAGTCACACACTTTTCTGACTGAGCCAGCCACACACTCCTAAAGTTTTTAATCAACATTAAAGATCAGCACTTTTTTTTTAAGTCCACACTATAGCTATAAATCATGATGATCAAGAGCCCAAAGGTAACTTAGCGTTGACTCATTGTGCCATTAATGTGTGTCCTAAGAGAAATGTGAGAAAATTAAAGAAGTTCTTAAGGACCCACTGAAGAGTGAAAAAAATACAACACAAAAGAGCTTTTGTGAAGGAAACTCAAGAAATTCAGGTACTCAGGTATTCAGTCCTGAAAAAGAAGGTTTGAGGAGACAAATGTGATAATATATAGTTATCGAACAGTATTTTAAGGAGGAAAAGGACTTTTTAAGTTACCAGAAAAAGAAACCTACTGCAGGATAACAAATATTAGCTTTGATACATCTAAGTTTGCATTTGCAACTTCACCACTTCCTTCATGACCTCTCCAAACATTAATCTCTATATCTGTGAAAAGAATACTAATAATACCATCTTAAAAGGATTTTTTTTATGTTAAAATGTGTGAATAAGTCTGGTCCTTAGTTTTTTGTTTTTTTTTTAATACAAAGCATAGCAAGACAGGTGACTAGAATTAAGCCAAGACTTCTTGACTTGGTAGTTTTAATAGGAGGTACCATGTAAATATGTCTTTTTTCTCTAAATTAAGAAAAAAAAAGACCAATATAACATATATGTACATAGTTTTAAAAAGTCAAATGGTCTACATTGTTGCCAGTGAAAAATAGCAGTTTCCTGCCTCACATTTCCCCTTTCTGATTTCTCCTTAGCTTCTGTTTTTGAATAACATGCTTATGTTTTTATTTCTTGATTTTTCATTTTTAGATGTTATTTTTACCTTCCTTTTAAGTAAATGAAATTTAGCTTTCTTTACCCACCCGCCCTAATACCGCACAAACACACGTTTCCCCTTCTCTTGTCTTCATAGTCTGGTCTTGTCAACATTTGGAGTTAAATCAGTATTCACTGTCTGTGTTGTCATAACTTTGTTAACTGTTATTTACAAGCGCACATAATATATACTAGACTTCTATTTCCTTTCCGGGTTAACTTTGTATGTGTTTGTGGAGCAGTTGCCCATTTTTAGTTTGCTAAGTTTCTGTTCATCACTAATTTATCCCTGAAACTCTCTCACAGGACTATATATGTTCTCCCAGAACTTTGTGTGTGTGTGTGTGTGTCCCATGGAAACATCCCTCCTGGAGGCTTTTATCACACTACTCAGTCCCCCAGTCCAGGCTGATTGCTCTCTAGATCTACAACACCTTCAACTCTTACCCCTCATTTTGGAAGTTCTCTTCATTGTCTCCTGCATGAGTTGGATCCTTCTTTTTGGGGTGCCCTTGTCTGTCCTCCCTGCTGTGTAGTAGACATCTTCAGTAGCTTTCTGAGGAGAGCTATAAGGGAAGTAAATGTTTTGAGACATAGATATGGAAATGCTCTTATTCAACTCTTGCATTTGGTTGATAACTATGGAATTTTAGTCTGTAAATAATTTTTCCCATAATTTTGGTAGTATCACACCACTGTCATCAAAGCAGATATGCTGCAGTGATATCTGATTCTAGTCTGCCAGTTCTTACTTAATATGACGTATTTTGTTTTGTCTGTATCCTTTCTGGATGCTTTTACACTTAGAACATACCTAGTGTTCAGTTTTCACGTTGACTTGTCTTGGAGTGGGTTCTTTTTCTTTCTTTGCTGGGGGCACTTGTTGGGGCTTTTCCATCAGGGAACTTCCAAACATTTTTCTTGTTATTATTTCCTCAGTAGTTCTCATGGCAACTTAAACCCCAACCCTTTTCTCTATTCTCTTTCTAGATTTATTGTAGTTCTTGAACCAGTTCTTTGATTTCTTACCTTCTCTTTGTCAGTGTCCATGTACAGATTTCCTCCAGGCCATTTTTTTTTTTAAGATTTTATTTATTTATTTGACAGAGAGAGAAATCACAAGTAGGCAGAGAAGCAGGCAGAGAGAGGAGGGGAAGCAGGCTCCCTGCTGAGCAGAGAGCCCGATGTGGGGCTTGATCCCAGGACTCTGGGATCATGACCTGAGCCAAAGGCAGAGGCTTAACCCACTTAGCCACCCAGGCGCCCCCAGGCCATTTCTTGATTTAAAAGAAAATGATTTCCAAGAACTCCCATTTTATTCTTCTGAATGCTCCTACTTTATAGCATCCTTCTCTTACCTCATGGATATAATCTGTTCTATGAGAATATTACTAGTAATTGTAGGTTTTGTTTTAAATTGTTTTCTGCTTATCATAGAATTTGTTCCTTCCTCATTTGGTGGCTCACCTTTATCAAGACTGCAAAATATTCAGCAGATTTTGTGGAAGCGAGAAATAAAAATTCTTTTTTAAAAAGTCATATTTTACAAGTGCAATAGCATTTAACTTCATTGTGAATTAAAATAATCTTGCATACACAGATTAACACTTAAAATTGGCTTTAGGTAAGCTTAAAATTTAAATCATATTTAGTCAAAATGGTTTCAGGAGAGAAACCTATAGGCAAAACAACTTATAGTGTCTTAGACACCAATCAGGACATTTTACAGAGGGAACCAAGACTATTGGTTAATATTGTGGGTGAATTAAGAGAAATTCAGTAAGAAGAGATATATATGGAGAGAGTATAAATGCATGTGTGTTTGTATGTGTGTGGGTGTGTATGTAATAGAGAGTATGTATGTGTATATATCTTGTATGTATATGTTTCTCATATGGTAAAGTACATACGTCTCCTATATATTTTATATTTTATATAAACAAATCTCCCAACACATGTTTTATTTATATCTCTTTTCCCCTGTTGTGTAGTACATTTATGTTACCTGATATATAATGTCTGTGTATTATAGGTATTATAATGTAGGGACTTTGGAGCCAAATTATCTCTATGAGCTATGTGACCTTGTGACCTTAGGCAAGTCTCTTTGCCTCTTGGCCTCAGTTTCATTGTTTTGAAAATAGAGACTACTGGTACTTTTCTATTAGGATTATTATGAATATCAAAAGAATAGCTCTTAGAGCAAGGCCTGTTCTATAAGTGCTTTTCATATGAGTTAATCACCTCTTTTACTATTGTCATGTATATCTATGCATTTACTTTTTTGTTTTATTTATAGTGTGAATGTATAAATGTCTGTGTGTATATATACTTACATACATATATATCTCCTATAGAAGCAAGAAAATATTATTTTTAATCATGTCTAAATACAGTATTGATAGCATTTAACTTCATTATGAATTAAAATAACCTTGCATAAACATTGGCTTTCAGAAAGCTTACAGTATATATTGATACATATAACTTTTCTGTTATATTACAGTTATCTTCTTTAACTACATTCATATTTTTCCTGTATCATATATGTTCTCCCTTATTATATAAATATAGATATTTCTCAATAATATATAGATATTTCCTTTACTAATTACATATGTAGCTTCCTTACTATTTATCTATTTAATCTTGAACATTATATACCTTTGCCTGCTATTTATTATATATTGTATATCCTACTATATATCCTACTATATGTTCTCACTGTCTCTATGTTTATGTAGATATATATATAGTATTGCCTACTTTATGTATAATCCCTCTAAAACACAAGCTCCTTGAGGTCATGAATTTTGTCTTGTTCATTACTGTATTCTCAGAATAGAACCTTGCACATAGTAAATGTTCAACAATATATATTGCATATACATTTTATATATTTTATGCACCATATACTTTATAGCTTGCTGATATTATCTTCTGTATTCCTAATATATATTACCTACAGCACATGCCCACATGTTTTATATGTATTGTTTCCTATAAATGTATCTCCTACTCTGTATTATATAAAATTCATTTTGATGTATCTCCTGCTATATGTTTTTATATCCTAGTTTCTTCTACATAATTTGAGTGTTAATCTCCTTTAATATATCTCTTTCCATCCTGATTTTTAAGATATTAATATTCACATTTCCTAGTTCCTCAGATGTTCTTGAAAAAACATAATTTTTAATCATGTTCTCTTATGTGAATGGGCTATATGTTATTTAACCTTTCCCTAATTTGCTTGTTTTGTTTCTTAAACCCCACATATGAGTGAAATCATATATTACTTGTCTTTCTCTGACTTATTTCACCTAGACTTTTACTCTTTAGCTCCATTCATATTGTTGCAAATGGCAAGATTTCATTCTTTTTATAGATGAATAGTATTCCAGTGAATGTGTACACCACCTTTTCTTTGTCTGTTCATCCACTGATGGACACTCGAGCTGCTTCCGTAGTTTGGCTCTGGTAAATGATGCTGTAATAAACATAGGGGTACATGTATCCCTTTGAATTAGTGCTTTTGTATTTTGGGACAAATAGCCAGTAGTTTCATTATTGGACTGTAAGGTGGCTCTATTTTTAATTTTTTGAGGAACCTCCGTACTCTTTTCCACATTGGCTGCACCAGTTTGTATTCTGTGGTGGGTTATTTTCCTCTCTCAGTTTTGAACATGACTCTGAGGACCATCCATTTACATGAATCTTTTTGGAAATCTAGATTTTTTTTTTTTGAATGAAGACCTGAAAATTCAATTCTTAGAAGTCAGAAGGTACTAAATTTTTTTCCCCCAATATACAGCAATTTTCAAATTGTATTCTATGAAGATTTTTGCAGCTTGTACTCTGCTGACTATTAAAATGCTCATTTCATGGGACTCCGACTAAAATTCCCCATGAGCTTTTAAAAAACATTTTTACAAACAGATAATGTGAATAAAATGCTATCTTTGCTTGTTTTGATTTGCATTTCTTCTAAAACATATTTCTGAAGTACTTAAATATTTCCCTTCCTTCATCTACCCCCCACTCAAAATAATAAAATTTTACATGTTTCCTAAACACATTTCTCAAGCTTCCCACCTTAACATTGTCTCCAGACCAGCCTCATTTCTGTCTGTCTGTCTTTTGTATCTGCGTATGTATAGGAGGGACCAAGAAGTACCGTTTGTACTGTAGAGCAGCTGCAGTAGATGATACTGAATGAGAGACTGGGGAGCCAAGCTGACCTTGATTTGAGACAGAACCTGAGCACGCCTCGGCTTTCTCCTCCATAGTCTGGGAGGTGGTAGCACTGGGCAGGTCAGGCTGCTGTGGGAATTCACTGAGATTCCTGCAGAAAGCCTCTTGAGCAGTGCTGCTAGCTGCGGTCTGCTTTTTCTTCTCAGATTCACCATGGGCTCATCTTGGTCTTTGAGGCTCATATGCTGACCTCAATTGAACTTTCATTACTGTTGCAAATAACGGTCTCAAATTTCTGTCCCCTATACATTGTCTTTAATAGTTTCAATCCCTGTACAAGTAGGTGGGGACACTTTGAGAGATGTAGGAGCTGCTAGGTAATACCTCTGTGTGTTTATCTGATTTAACTTTCGTTTAAGCTGATCATGCCTTCTTTCCAAAAATGTTCTGCCCTGTTACTTAATATCCACCCCCCCATATATAAGTGTATATGTGTATATGTGTGTATATGTGTATACATGCATATATGTATATGTGTGTATATGTATATGTATATATGTGTGTGTATATGTGTGTATGTGTATGTGTGTATGTATAAATATATGTGCATGTGTATATGTGGGTATGTGTATATATGTGTATATGTATATATGTATATATAGTTGCTCAACTCTTCTCTCCCCTTGGTGCCCACTGCAATTTTTCTTTTAATCTTTTAGGCCTATGAAATACTGGTTCCTTTTATAAAAGAAAAGTTTAAATCCTTTCCTGTTATTGTAGCTGCTACAAGTAGAATAACATAACTTCATGATATCATTTGTTTAGGAACTAGTTTTTATGGAAGATTTACTTTACTGGTATCTTTGAAACTAGATGTCTGACAGCCAGGAGCAAATACTTCTAAAGATTTTTAAAAACTAAGGCCATTTTCTTGGAACCAGTCCTGTCAGAAGTGTTAATTTCTTACTGTGTCTACCTTAGATTTTTTTTCTTATACTCTGGAGATGTGATTACTATATATAGAATATAGGATTCGTAATATTCTCCTGACACTTCTGTGGCAATCATATTCAGACCTAAGAAGCAACAAAAAATTCTGTGGGAGTTTGTATGGTTTCCTTTTCTATTTTTCTGTTGAAATCTTAAAAATTAATTAGTAGGGCTTTTATGCCCTATACTGTTTCTTTTCATTAATATGTTACATTGCATTTTCCAGAACGCTGGAGTTCCTGATGAGACACTTGTCTCTTCTAGCTGATTATTGTTCCATCACAAATATGCATGCAAAAAACCTAGCAATTGTTTGGGCTCCAAACCTGCTAAGGTAAGTTGCATTTGACTTATGACCTTAAGTAGAACTAGTCATCTTAAATCAAAGTCTAATTTGTCAGTGTTCCTTGAGGACAGTTTTTAAAAGTAAAATTCATCTGCCATTTTTATGAGCATCTCCCTGAAAGAGGCAAGTGGGGTTTAGCCACACTATTAAAGTATGCTTTCTTCCTCTGGTCTGTTTGTGGTTTACACGTTTAAAAAAAATAATAATAATGCCCTTTAAAGCTGCTGTCTTTGGGATTCTCTGATGGTAATGTTGGTTCTCCCACAGATCAAAACAGATAGAATCTGCCTGCTTCAGTGGAACAGCAGCGTTCATGGAAGTGAGAATTCAGTCTGTAGTGGTTGAATTCATCCTGAATCATGTAGACGTCCTCTTCAGTGGGAAAATCAGTGCCGTCATTCAGGACGGGGCAGGTATGGCTCTCACAGATTTTGTTTATGAGGAACAGGGATAAACTTCCAAAGGCATGGAAAACTGCATTTCTCATCTCAGTTGAATAAATCTGTCTTTGGTAGAAAGCAGGTAATTTATGTCCACTTCTCAAAATGCATGGTTTAATAGTTACTTTGTGGGTGTTCAGTATTTAATGAATACTGCATTAGTCCTATTATGATCTAAGTTTATGACACATTTAAAAATACCCCGTGCCACCTATTACTGATGCATATAAAGTTATATAATATGGAACAGTGAAAGAAAATTTTTTTTTCCAAATCTAAGATATCTGAGTGATACCAGGCCTTGCTTGGTATCTTTTAAGAAAGGAAAATAGTTATTACCTAAGGAATTTATATTTATATATGTGTCATTGTTAACATCCTGGTGTGTATCCTTCTTTTCCTCATCCATTATAAACCCCTGTTGTTTTTGCCATTTAAATAAAAGAGCAGAGATAGGTAGACAGATGGAGATTGATGCACACACACTCACATTTTTTACCTATGCCAAAAATCTTGACTCTTTTCATCGCTTTTCTTTCTTTCCAAAGCTTCTCTCTCAAGACCCAAGTCATTGCTGGTCTCCTCTCCATCCACCAAGCTGCTAACATTGGAGGAAGCCCAGGCACGAACGCAAGCTCAGGTCAACTCTCCAATTGTGACTGAAAATAAATATATTGAAGTCGGAGAAGGACCTGCTGCACTTCAGGGGAAGTTTCATACCATAATTGAGTTCCCACTTGAAAGGTAAAATTCATTAAATCCTCTTCAGTGATGTGATTTTCATAGTCCAGTGTTCTTTTTTTTTTTTTTTTTACGGTTGTGTTCTAATACTACTATATTGATTTTGGGCTAGTCCCAGAAAAACTCATTCATTTGATTATAGATGATAACTCATAGGGAGTGATACAAATGATTTTCAAAAAGCATTATAGCAGCATGTCATTTTTTTTTTAAGATTTTATTTATTTATTTGACAGACAGAGATCACAAGTAGGCAGAGAGGCAGGCAGAGCGAGAGGAAGGGAAGCAGGCTCCCTGCTGAGCAGAGAGCCCGATGCGGGGCTCGATCCCAGGACCCTGAGATCATGACCTGAGTCGAAGGCAGAGGCTTAACCCACTGAGCCACCCATGTGCCCCGCAGCATGTCATTTTTAAAGAAGATGAAATTTATCAGAGAGGTCAGATTGTTGGGCAAAATAATACACTTCCACCATATAGGATGTAGGATGTGCTTTTCTCTCTGAGATATGTTGTCTAGAAATTTATTTACAAATAAGCTGGGGGCATCCAGGTGGCTCATTTGGTTAAACATCTGACTTCAACTCAGGTCATGATCTCGGGGTCCTGGGATCAAGTCTTGTGTTAGGCTCCACACTCATCTGGGAGTCTGCTTGTCCCTCTATCCCTCCCTTGCTCATACTTTCTCTTTCTCTCTCTCTCTCTCTCTCTCTCTCTCTCATTCAAAGAAAAAAAGAAATGGATTGGAATAACTTACTCGGGAAATAAAGAATGGACAATGACTTGTTTGACATTGGCTCCATATTAAGTTTAGAATAGACTAATGCTTCTCATAGTGCTATCTCCCAACCAGCATCAAGAGATGAATGAAAACTATTCCTGTGTTGTGTGTGTCTACCACATCTTTATGCATTCATCTCTCTTTTTTTTTTTTAAAGATTTTATTTATTTGCTTGACTGAGATCACAAGCAGGCAGAGAGAGAGAGGGAAGCAGACTCCCTGCTGAGCAGAGAGCCCAATGCAGGCCTCGATCCCAGGACTGTGGGATCATGACCTGAACTGAAGGCAGAGGCTTAACCCACTGAGCCACCCAGGCACCCCTATGCATTCCTCTCTTGATGGACACTTAGGTTACTTCCATATCTTGGCTATTATAAATAAAGCTGCAGTGAACATATACTTTTCAAATTAATGTTTTTGCCTTGTTTGGATAAATACCCAGAAGTGGAACTACTGGATCATATCCTAGTTCTATTTTTAATTTTTTGAGGAACCTCCACACTATTTTCCCTAGTGGCTGCACAAATTGATGTTCCCACCAGCAGCACATGAGGGTTTCCTTTTCTCCACTGCCTTACCAACACTTGTTATTTCTTCTCTTTTTTCATTTTAGCCATTCTGACTGCTATGAGGTGGTATCTCATTGTAGTTTTAATTTGCTTTTCCATGATGATGAGTGATGCTGAGCATCTTTTCATGTGTCTTTTGGCCATCTGGATGTCTTTTTTGGAAAAATGTCTGTTAAGGTCCTCTGCCTCAATCAGATTATCTTTTTGGTGTTGAATTGTGTGAGTTTTTATATATTTTGGATATTAATCCTTTATTGGCTATGTCTTTTGCAAATATCTTCTCCCATTCAGTAGGTTATCTTTTGTTTCATATATGGCTTTGTTGTGCAACTTTTTGTTTGATGTAGTCGCAATTGCTTATTTTTGCTTTTCATGCCCTTCCCTGAGGAAACAGATTCAGAAGAATATTGCTAAGGCCTATGTCCAAGAATTACTTCATATATTTTCTTTTAGGAGTTTTGTGGTTTCAGGCCTTACCTTTAGGTCTTTATTCTGAGTTTATTTTGTGTATGGTGTAAGAAAGTGATCTAGTTTCTGTATTTTACATGTAGCTGTCCAGTTTTCCCAACACATTTGTTGAAGAAACTCTCTTTTCCTTGTTGCATGTTCTTGCCACCTTTGTCATAGATGAATTGACTATAGAAGCATTAGTTTATTTCTAGGGCATCTTCTGTTCTGTTAAACTATGTTTCTTTTGATGCCAGTGCCATCCAGTTTCATCTACAGCGTGGTTCGACATCTGGGAGTGCCATACCTCCATCTTTGTTCTTTCTCAAGATTGTTGTGGCTGGTCAGGGTATTTTTGATTCCTTACAAAGTTTAAGATTTTTTTTTCTAGTTCTATGAAAAATACTATGATAAGGATTGCATTGAGTCTGTAGATTGCTCTAGGTAGTGTGGACATTTTAACAGTACTAATTCTTTCAATCATAAACATGGTGTATCTTTCCCTTTATATGTCATCTTTAATTTCTTTCACTAATGACTTATAATTTCCAGGATACAGGTGTTTCATGCCCTTGGTAAATTTATTCCTAGATATTTTATTCTTTTCGATGCAATTGTAAATGGGATTGCTTTCTTAATTTTTCTGCCAGATGTGTTAGTAGAGTAAAAAATGCCAAGTATTTCTGTATATTAATTTTGTGTCTGCAGCTTGCTATATTCATTCATTAGTTCTACTAGTTTTTTGGTGGAATCTAGGATTTTCTATACATAGTGTCATGTTGTCTACAAATAGTGACAGCTTTACTACTTCTTTGCCAATTCGGATGCCTACTATTTCTTTTTTCTTTTCTTTCTTTCCTTTTCTTTTTTGTCTGATTGCTGTAGTTAGCACTTCAGTACTATGTTGAAAGAAGATGGCAGGAGCGCGTCCTTGTCTTGTTCTGACCTTAGAGGACACCTTTTTACCCCTTTACCGTTGACTGTGATGTTATCTGTGTGTTTGCCATATATGGCCTTTATTATGATGAGGTATGTTCCCTCTCAACCCACTTTCTTGAGAGCTTTTATTGCGAACAGATGTGGAATTTTGTCAAATGCTTTTTCTCATCTGTTGAGATGTTCCTATGATTTTTATTCTTCATTTTGTTAATGGGGTGGACCATGCTGATTGATTTGCAGATATTGAACCATCCTCCCATCCCTAAAGTAAATCTCACTTGATCTTGGTAAATGATCCTTTTTCTTGGTAATGATCCATTGATTTCAATGTTGTTGAACTCAATTTGCTAATATTTTATTGAGGGTTTTGCTTCCATGGTCATCAGGAATATGGGTCTATAGTTTTCTTTGTTTTGTAGTATCTTCCTTTGATTTTAGTGTCAAGGTAATGCTGGCCTTGAAGAAGAGATTTGGAAACATTCCTTCCTTATTTAATTTTTTGGAATAGTTTGAGAAGGATAGGTAGTAGGTATTTCTTGATTTCTTTGATCAAAGATTTGTTCTTTAATGTAAATGGAGTGAAAGTCCCTTACTGTTGTATTACTGTCAATTTCTCCCTTTGTGTCTGTTAATATTTGCTTACAGGTGTTCCTTTATTGGATTCATAGCTGCTTACAGTTGTTACAGCATGTAGTTGGGTTGGTTCTTTTTTATTATGTAATACCCTCTTTGTCTCTTGTTATCTCTTGTTACAATCTTTGTTTTAAGGTCTGTTTTGACTGATGTAGGTGTTGCTATCCCAGCTTTTTTTTTTTTTTTGCTTCCATTTGCATGGGATATTTCTTTCCATTTTTTCACTTTAAGTCTGTATGTGTCTTACATGTGAAGTGACTGTCTTGTAGGTCATGTTGTTTTATCCAGTCACCCTATGACTTTTGATTGGAGCATTTAGTCTATTAACGTTTAAAGCAGTTATTGGTAAGTATGTACTTACTGCCATTTTATTGTTTCCTGGTTATTTTTGTAGTTCTGTTTCTTTGTTCTTCTCTTGCTCTTTTTTCTTGTGATTTAATGACTTTCTTTAGTGCTATGCTTGGATTCTTTTCTCTTTTGTGTGTGTGTAGTTATTACAGGATTTTGGTTTGTAATCAGTGTGAGGTTCATAAATAATATCCTATGTATATAGCAGTTTATATTGAGTTGATGATCACTTAAGTTCAAATGCATTCTAAAAACACTGTTTTTACTCTCTCCTCTCCGTTTTATGTATATGGATGGCATCATATCTTACTTCTTTTTATTTGTGAGTCCCTTAAGTGAGTTTTAAGGTATAGCTGATTTTACTCTTTTTTTTAACCTTCATACTAGTTTTATTTTTTTTTAAGATTTTATTTATTTATTTGAGAACATGAAAGAGAAAGCATACAAGCAGGGGAGAGGCAGAGCAGGAGGGAGAAACAGACTCCCCACTGAGCAGGGAGCCTGATGTGGGACTTGATCCCAAGACCCTGGGATCATGACCTAAGCCAAAGGTAAATGATTAACTGACTGAGCCACCCAGGCACCACATACTAGCTTTATAAATGATTGATCTACTATCTTTGTTTGCTTTTACCCATGGTATTTTTTCCTTTAAGAGTTTCTGTTCTAATTATGGCCTTTTCTACTCAAAAAAGTCCCTTTATCATTTCTTGTGGAGCCGGTTTAGTGATGAATTCTTAGAACTTTTGTTTGTCTGGGAAACTCTTTATCTCTCCTTTGGTTCTGAATGATAGCGTTGCCAGGTAGAATATTTTTGGCCATAGATTTTTTTCCTTTTAGCACATTGAATATATCATTTCACTTCTTTCTGGCCTGAAAAGTGTCTGCTAAAAAAACAGCTGATAGCCTTTTGGGGTTTTCCTGGTATGTAACTATTTGTTTTTCTCTTGCTGCTTTTAAAATTCTCTCCTTATTTTTAATTTTTCATGTTTTAATTATCATGTGTCTTGGGGTGGACCACCCTGGGTTCATCTTTTAGGGGGCTTTTTATGCTTCCCGGATCACCTCTATATCTGTTTTATTCCCTGGGTTAGGGAAGTTTTCAGCTATTATTTCTTCAAATAAGTTTTCTGCCCCTTACCCTTTTTCTCCTTTTGGGACTCCCATAATGCAAATGTTAGCATGCTCAATGTTTCCCAGAGGGCCCTTTCCCTACCATCATTTCTTAACATTCTTTTTTTCTTTTATTTCTTTTTGGCTTAGGTGCTTTCTACTCCCCTGTCCTCCAGATTGCTTATCCATTCTTCTGCATATTCTGATCTGTTGATTCCCTCTAGTGTATTTTTCACTTCAGTTATTGTTTTTCAGCTCTGTTGATTCTTTTGAAAATTTTTTCTCTCTTTGTTGAAGCTCTCACTGAGTCCATCCGTTCTCCTTTGAAGTCCCGTGAGTGTCTTTGACCATTACTTTGAACAGGCAAATTGCTTATCAGGCAAATTGCCTATCTCTGTTTTGTTTAGTTCTTTTTCTGAGGCTTTGTTCTGTTATCTTATTTGGAACATATTTCTCCATCTCTTCATTTTTCTTTCTGTGTATTAGTCAGCTATGTCTCCTGGTCTTAAAGTGGTGGCTTTTTTAGAGGAAGGTTTTGTGGGGCCCAGTAGTGCAGTCCCTCCTGGTCATCAGAACCAGGTGCTCCTGGGGTGTTCCCTGTGTGGGCTGTGTGTGCTCTCCTGTTGTAACTGGGCTGGACTGCTGTGGGTGTGCTGGTGGGTGGGTATGGCTCTCAGTCCCACTGCCTGCAGTGACCAGCCATGGCCACTCTGGGCACACTGGTGGGCATAGCTGGACTTGAGTGCAGTCGTCTGAGAGGCCTGGCTTTGGCTGCTGCAGGGTTGCTGGTGGGTGGGGACTGCATGGTGTGCTGGTGTGCTGCTGGGCAGGGCTGCCACCTTCCCTCCCTGGGGCAGGAGTTGCCTTGAATGGGCTCCATCCTGACCAAGGCTGCCTACTAGGTGTGGCAGGAACCACTTTGGAGGGGCGCTTGCAGGGACAGGTGGGTTGAGTGGGGCTGGTCTGAGGGGAACGCTGGCATGGGCCAAATGGTGCTAGCAAGGTAGATAGATGGTGTCAGAACTGGCTTCTGCCGGTGTTGGGCCAGCTCGGCTGAAGGAGGGCAAGAAAGTTGATGCCTACCAGCATTTCAGTGATTTCTTCAAAAATTTCTTTATAGGGTAGCAGTCAAGAGAGCAGATATTTGGATATGTATATAACTGGGTTCCAACCCTGACTCCATCATTTACTAGTTTTATAACATTAAGGAAGTTACTTAAACTTAGTGTCATAATTTCCTCGGCTATAACCTGAGAATAATAGTACCTACCTTGTACAGTTTTTATTTTAAATGAGCTACTACATAAGACATCACAGTGCCTGGAATTCAATTTATGTTAATTATTATTTGTAATACTTTTCTTCCTTTTTGGTTTAATTCTGTTTACTCACACAAAAAACTGTTTTCTTTAACTCTTTTATTTTGGAGTTTTAATAATTCCTACTTCTAAATATTTCTTATTCTTACTTATTTCACTGATTGTGAGGTTAGATATAAATATAAAAATCTGTATAAAAATTATCTTTGTGACTAGCTATTAATACTCAAATCTATACATTTTATTACCTTGTTATGCTTCAGCTGTGCTGTGTAGACTGTGCTGTATACACACACACACACATGTGCTACATGTATGCACACGTGCAGTGGATGTGTGTGCTACATGCATGACATAGCAGATGCACGTGCTATGTGTATGCACATGTGCAGTGGCTGTGCATGCTACATACATGACACAGTGGATACATGCTATATACACGACACAAGTGGATGTGCACTACGTACATGACAAAGCGACGTGCATGCTACATACATGACACGGACATGTGCTACATACATGACACAGCGGTGGTGTGCTACATACATGACACAGCGGATCCATGTGCTACATACATGACAGAAGAGATATGTGTGCTACATGTTTGCACACACGCAGTGGATGTGTGAAAAACAGGTACTGTTCCAGCTATGCCCTCTCTAGGCTCTTGGGTTCTTTCCATCATTTGTTCGTTTCCTCTAAATAAAGACAGCCCCTTGGATATCTTAATACAGACTACTTTCTCTCTCTTAGGAGGAGGCCTCAAAATAAAATGAAAAAATCTCCCGTGGGCAGCTGGCGTTCCTTTTTCAACTTGGGGAAATCATCGTCTGTTTCTAAGCGGAAGCTGCAGCGGAATGAGAGTGAGCCTTCCGAGATGAAAGCCATGGCTCTGAAAGGTTGGTGCTCCCTGCTGTTCTGTGCCACGCGTCAGAGCAGCTGGCGTGGCCGCTCCACTCCCCTCCTCTCAGCCGGCTGTCGTCACGCTGCGCACAGGTGCCCAGTATGTCATGACGGTGTGCGTCAGCGCAGTGTGTCCACAGCCATGGTGCCGGCTCCTAGTTGTCTTCTTCTACGAGTTCTTCATCCCCCAATGCGGACATAAATATGCGGGGAATATGTAGAAGTGCCTGGTTTCTTGTGGAAACTGCAGATTATGTAGAGTGTGGATGTGATTGAAATTCATACCATGGTTGTGTGCTGTTAATAAAAAAAATGACTGCTATGGTGTTTAATTTTTATTAATCTGTATTTTTATATATTTAAAATGTGACAAAACCATGTTTTAACATGCTTTTTAAGTTTTTAACTCTTACAACCAAGGAATCGATCTTTTTTATGGGATAACTCATTGGTGAGAGTATCTTCCTGGATCAAGTAAATCTGTTACTGTTGTTGCAAATACTACTCTTAAAAAATAATTTAAAAACCATGATATTAACAGCTTCTGAATCTAGGAAGGACAATAATACTTGAATGTTAGAAATATAATGTTCAATTCATTTAATTCATCATTCATTCAGTTTGCAATCATGTACTAAACATGTGCTAAATATTTAGATAGCAGCCTCTCAAATAGAAAGAAAACTAAGATACTGCCCCTGCCTTCAGAGACCTACTTGGGAAACTGTGTAAGAAAATAAGTCTCATGCAGAATCATACCAATTGAAATAGGTATTTGTGTGAGGCATTTATGGTAGGACTTGTCAGTTCCTAAGGGGAAGAGGGCTAGTGGATAGAAATCTACCCTGTGACTTGGGTTTTTGAAATATAAGTAAGGATTCACGTGATCACCAACTGAGAAGGGCATTTCAGGAAATGGGAGCACAGTGTGTGCTAGTGTGTGAAGCAGGGAACGTGGCTGGGTAGATCGTGGTTCAGAGAGAGGTCATCAGGGGCCTCCAGTGCTTGCCAAAGAGTTTTGGTTTTGGTTTTGTCCTGTCTTCCTTTGGAGGTTATCCTGTGGCTTTAATAGGTAACATGGTTCCGTGTAGGGTATAGAGAGAGGACTTCAGCAGTGGTACAGGGAATGTACGAGGAGAGATAAGCCTGGACGCTGGACAGTAACAGGTGGTGTTACAGGCGGACAAAAGATAGTTACAGGGGGACAACCAAGAAACAGTGAGTGTCTGGGGTACACAGTGGCAGTAGACGTGGGAAATAGATTTGAGAGATACTTAGGAAGTAGAATCTACAAGGCTGTGTGACCAAATGATTGTGAAGGATGAGAAAAAAAGAGGAGCAAAGATAATTTTCAGATTCTGATTAAATGATTAGGGAGGTGGCAGTGCCATCATTCATGTAGGGAGTAGCAGTTTGGAGAAGAGAAGTGATGTGTTTATTGTGGACATAGTGGGTTGGACATGCCCAAGAGGTGATCAGTAGTATGGGTCTGGAATTCAATAAAGGAGGTTAATATAACTGGAAATACAGATTTGTAAGTCGTCAGCAAACCCTAAAGATATAGTTTATGGAAGAGCCTGTTGAGTGAGAGAAGCAGGTTGAAAACTGAATCTGGAAAAAAGCAGTGTTGGAAAGACCAGAAAAGGTACAGTTGTCATGAAAGTAAGAAGAAATGATTAAAAGGATAGGCAAAGAACAAAAGAGATGAGCACTGTCCCCAGAAATAATGGAGGAGGGGTTTAAAGAGAAAAGCATCACCAGTGTTGAGTAGTGCTGGGAGGCCAATGAGGATATTTAACAAATAAGATTGAACATACGTAATTAAGGCACTGTGTTAGGTTCCTAGGACTTCCAGAATAGAGTGCTCCAAATTGGTTGACTTAAAACAACCAATTTATTTCCTCACAGTTCTGTAGGCTAAAAGTCTGAAATCAAGGTGTCAGCAAGGCCATGTTCCTTCCAAAGGGTCCAGGGAAGAATCCTTCCTTGCCTCTTCCAGCTCCTGGTGGCTCCTGGCATTCCTTGGCTTGTGGTGGCATCACCCCAGTCTCTGCTCCCATCTTTACTTGGCCTGCTTCTCCATCTCTCGGGGTCCTCTCTGCTGAAAAGGACACCCTGAGTGGATTTAGGGCTCACCGTAAACCTAGTGTGATATCATCCTAAGCCATCATGCTGGTCTTTAGAAAATAAAAAAGGAAGATGTTTTAAAATGCATCTCTATTCTCAAGTTGATAATCCTTTAGAAAAGAGATTTTTCACACAGGAAACCGTGTGAAAACAATACAGCACCTTATTCAATATGCTGCTTACATTGAATATGTACAGTTAATCACCCTTGGAAACTTAAGTATGTGTAGAGAAGAAAGCTGTTCCCTTCTCTACATATGTAGCAGTAGCAGTGGATAAAACCTCACACTGTTTGGTTTAATTCTTCAGGTGGCAGGGCAGAAGGAACGCTCCGTTCAGCTAAAAGTGAAGAATCCCTTACTTCTCTCCATGCAGTCGATGGTAAGACTAAAAGCATCGTTGTTTTATTCCATATTTCATGAAAGAAAACAACAATCGAGTATACTTGATAAATACATATATATAAATAGGCTACAGACTACCACTCCCAGACAATAATCATATCTATTTCGTACTGTCCATCGATGTCTTCATATAGTACCAGGCTCTAATCTCTTCACTGTTGACATGATTGCTGTTTAGTGTACCTAAAAATAGGTAACCACTTATATTTATTAAAGCCCAGTGGAAAATGATGCTGTTAGTATTTCTTTCTTTAGATTTCATGAAAGCAAAATTTTACAAAATATAAGATTAAGCAGTTTTGATATTCACATCAGTAGTCTTTTGTCTTGTAAATGGCTTAACCTGACATTAAATTTCATAGATGAGATTGATTATAGGCAGCCCTCATTATCTGAAGATGGGATCCTCTGTACAAGGAGAAGAAAACTTAGACGTGAATCCTCTTAAAAAGGGGACCAAAATTTTAGTAAAGAATATAAAAAGGTTTGATTGCAACTTGACAAACAAAACTAAAAATTATGAAAATAAGTTTCTTTTTAGCCCCTAATTAACAAAAGTCGGGTTATCGTTGTAATTATATACTCATTTTAGAATGAACAAAGGATTACTTCAATTGGAAGATCTAGCTTTTTTGACAAAACCTTGTCATAATAGTAAATACGACATCCTTCACTCTATGTTGGCTTATGCAGCAGGATTGATTGTAAAAAAGGCCTTTTCTACAAAAATAACTGAGAGCTAAACTGATTTTCCCATGGGCTTTTCTTCATCTGTTGATATCAGGATCATTTTTTTTTTTGAGGTACCCTGGGGTGTCATCGTCCTAGTCGACTTTCTCATCTTCATTTATTAACTCTTCTAACTGCCAGATCCTCAATGACCGACAGCTCTGCTTATTTCAAGAAATCCTCACATGTCCCTTTAGTTGGGTGTCTGACATCTTAAGGGTTTTCCGAGATTTTCCATTTCACTGCAGTTAAGAGAGTGGTTCATAGATATGATGAAGTGGGCTGGGTAGATGCCAGGATTAAGCAGAAAATAACGTTTTAGTAGAGATTAATTGTATAAGTAGTCAACACATTAGTGAACGTATTTGTGTTAAGGCAATTTCTGCCTCTTTAGAGCACGTTTTCACCATGGTGATTCTAACTGTTGAAATAGAATGCTGAGCTTGAAGACTTCTGTTGCCGGTTGGATGTGCAGCAATATCATAAAATTGTGATTGAAGGATTCTGCCTGAGAGACTTAAAGCCTATTCTTATTAAAGGAAAAAAAAAAAGAAATTGTTCTAAGTATCTGAAAAGAATCCTATAGCAAGTATGTGTAAATATATTATGGAATTGTAGAGATTTTTTTAGTTGACATATTTACTTTTCAGAAGTGTAGGTGTTAGGAGTATTTTTCCCCACACAAAAAACAAAAACAAAACCCTTTTGCTGTGGGATATCCAAAGTACTATTGAAAGTGGTTAATTCTATCTTAGAAATCACGCATGAGATCAGTCATAAAATAAGACAAAAAGAAAGAATTCTTGCCCAAAGTCGCGATGTTGGCCTAGTAATAGAATCCAAGAGTTCTGAGTCTTTTTTCCTGTTGAAACCATCAAAGGCTGCATTCTCCCCCTGATGATATCAGATGTCTTTGTTATTTAGCATTTGGCTCAGAAGTCCCATCCATTTGCCCCAAGAGACAGTTTCTGGAAAGAAGATGAGAAGTAACATTTCCTTATGCTGTCGTTGTGCACTCCTGCTGTCCTAAGTAGGTGACTTTTCATGGTATTGTGTATTATGTGTCCTAGGCATTCATACTCTGATATCCGTTTTTGCCAGGTGATTCCAAGCTGTTCCGACCCAGAAGACCCAGGTCTAGCAGTGATGCACTGAGTGCCTCTTTTAACGGAGAAATGCTGGGGAACCGCTGTAATTCCTATGATAACCTGCCCCATGACAATGAGAGCGAGGACGAGGTGGGGCTGCTGCACATTCCCGCTCTGATGTCTCCTCACGCAGCTGAGGATGTTGACTTGAGCCCGCCGGACATTGGCGTGGCCAGCCTGGATTTCGACCCAATGTCATTTCAGTGCAGCCCCCCTAAGCCTGAATCAGAATGTCTGGAGAGCGGGGCTTCCTTTCTAGATTCATTAGGATACTCCCAGGAGAAACTAAGCTCCAACAAAAAGGATACAGAAGCAGGTGGTAGCCAGTCTCAGACGCCAGGAAGCACTGCAAGTTCTGAAGCCGTCTCTCCTCTTCAGGAGAAGCTGAGTCCATTCTTTACCCTGGACTTGAGCCCAACAGAAGAGAAATCATCCAAGCCATCCTCATTCACTGAAAAGGTCGTCTACGCTTTTTCTCCAAAGATTGGACGGAAATTAAGCAAATCACCTTCTATAAACATATCTGAGCCAATTTCAGTGACTCTTCCCGCCCGGGTATCAGAAGTCATCGGGACCGTGTCAAATACAGCAGCTCCGAATGCATCTTCTCCAACCTGGAGCAAAAGTGTGGAAGACAGTGAGGCCATAAATAGATCCCCCACCCAGGTAGTAAAGATGAAAACCAGTGAGAGAGACGCCCAAGGAGGATGTGAATGTGAAGTCCAGCCCCTAGAGCAGGGGGCTGCTGCAGAAGTAGAGTCGCCAGGGAAAGAGGAGCAGGTCGTCGCGAGCAGTCAGAGTAAGGCTGTACCTTCTGGACAGACTCAGACAGGTACCATTTGTTTTCCTCCATTCTTTCCTTAAGCTAAGAGGGATCTCCAGCCCTGTGTGCCATCTGTGCCTTTTAAGAGAGAAATTTACTCCACAGCTAGCCTTTAATCAAAGAGAATGTTTTTCTGGGTGGTGCTGATGGCTCAAAGCCCTAAGTTAAAATCAATCAAACAGAAATTCCCCAAAGGGCCAGTGGTCCTGCTTCAGACCTTCGTAATGTCCCCTTTTGTCTTTGGACAGTCAGAATTCCTGGATAATTTTTGCACAACTTCGTAGCTCTTGATTTTATTTTCTAATAAAAGATATTATAGCCTTACAAGTTAACCAGCCAGCCTACACCATCAGATGTAAAAACTATCCTTAATAACAATCTGCAGGCACTTGAAGCTTGTTTTCTAAGCAGTCTTTTCTGAGCCAGATGAGGGACCTGCTTTTTCCCCCCCATCTCTGTAGCAATTCAAGAGGAAATTGCAATCTTTAAGCACTTGGTTTCAGTTTTCCTTCTGAACCAGATGTGTTTTCTCCAGCATTTGCATGTGGGACGGAAGATCATGGATTGCCGTTTTGAAAAATGGAAGGCACCTACTTTTTAGTGATCAAATGGGGAGAGTTTGGCTTTCCATATAGGATAACACAAGCTACCTTTTCACTCTCATTTTTTTTCCCAATTTCCCACCAGGAGCAGTTACCCATGACCCCCCTCAGGATTCCGTTCCTGTCAGTTCAGTCTCTCTTATCCCACCACCACCGCCTCCGAAAAACGTTGCCCGCCTGTTGGCGCTAGCGTTAGCTGAGTCTGCGCAGCAAGCCTCAACCCAGTCACTGAGGAGACCAGGGACTTCCCAGGCTGCTTACACAAATTACGGAGACATAGCAGTGGTTGCAGCAGAAGAGAAACTGCCTAGTTCCTACTCTAGCGTTACTCTAGATAAAGCCTATTTCCAAACTGATAGGCCAGCAGAGGAGTTCCACGTCCAGAACAATGTATCTGGGAACTGTGACCAGCCTATTCCAGATCCGGCCGCCACTGGGAATCCTACCCATGCCAGTGCAGTGGAATCTGGGGAACAGCTCCACCAGGCCGACTTCCCAGGGAATCATCCACATCGAACCTATTTACCTGGGGACCCAGACAAGGCCAGAATCACTTCAGTTCCCTTAACAGACTCTAAGTCGGATGATCCCCTGAGTTGCCCTGAAGACCAGTCTGGGAAGACCAGTATGCCAACTGTCTCCTTTATGGAACAGGACCAGTATCAGCTTCATTTCTACAGTGGAGATCAACCTCCTTCGTATCTTGGTGCAGGTGTGGATAAGCCCCATCATCACCCTTCAGAACTTGCAGACAAGTCGCCCACACCTTCTAATCTGCCTCGGGACAAAAGCTACCCTCCCTCTGGGTCCCCTGAAGAGAATCCCAGTGCGGCCGCCGTGGCTTACATGACCGCTGCTCCGGCAACAGCCGAGATGAGCACCAGGGAAGCCAGCTGGGATGTGGCTGAACAAGCCACTGCAGCTGATTTCGCCACTGCCACCCTTCAGCGCCCTCCGAGGACGAATCGTCCCCTCCCGCCGCCTCCTTCCCAGAGGTCAGCCGAGCAGCTGCTGGTCATGGGGCAGGTACAAGCAGCCACCAGTGTGGGACTGAATCATCCCCACAAGGTAAGAAGGGGAGGGAGTTGGGGAGATGAAAGGTACTTTTTCCAAAGGTATGTCACTTTTCAGCAGCGTGTGCTGCTCCCTTTGAGTCAGATAGGACATTTATCTGAAGTCCTGTGGCAGTTTCCATGAAACCTTTCCTGTCTGAGGTTGGACCTGCCTTTGTGTTGATGCCAGATTTTCTCTGAGGAAGGAGCAGTCATTCAGTGATTCTAGTTCATACCTGCTGCCTTTTCTTCCTAAAGCATCCGGGTAGTTTCTTCGTAGAACTACAAGGAGCTCGTGATCAAATACGTCAGACTGGGCTTCAGGTGTCAGGGCTGTGGGTTGGTCCCCACACCCCCCTCCCGACTCCATCACTGATGCAGTGTGACTTTGGGCAAGTTGTTTTTAACCCACCCTCTGCCAGTGATTCACGTCTGCACGGTGAATGTGCTTTATTCTCAACACATTTGGAAGACTTTCTGCCTTGCAGACGTTTTAGAAATGTAAGAGCTGACAGTGTTTTAGGTCATTTTGTTATTTCCTTAGCATAAGCCAGCAGGTTGTTTTATAATCAAGCTTCTGTTTTGATGAGAGAATATTGGATGCAGAAAGCTAAGATTTCTTTCTAACTTTCTCAGATTTTAAAAAAGTGCCCCACGTGCTTTGTGGTCACCTGAACTAAAAGGACTCTGCTATCTAGACTGGAGTGGAGGATGCTATTTCTAGCAGCTGCTTCTCAGGGACAGCACATTTGCAGCCTTGCTGTGAGGGTCATGTTTGGTGTCAGCTGCTGTGGACCAGGGTGGAGTAGAGGGTGGGGAGCGACAGTGACCAATTGGTCTGAATGTCCCTCGGACCAGTGTCACTACGTACAGCTGTGAGTCACTTCACAAATCTCTCCAGCTAGAATCAACTCTCTTTGTTTAACAAAATGTGCTTGGTGTTGAGACCAGTAGACTAGGTATATGTCTTTAAGCTTGACTATACTTTACGCCTCTCTTTTGGTCTGGACACTAAGATGCTGTCGCAGGCAACATCGCCTCACATTTAAAGCCTGTCACAAATTAGAACAGTTTCCCAAAGATGCCCATGGCTTCTGTACCAGGTGGCAGCACAGACTGCTTCCTGGACGTGCGGGCAGATTGGGCCTCCTGTCGTGTCCAGCGCAACCACATGGCTTGGAGGGTTTCAAGCTACCATCCAGATAGCCTCAACTTGTGGGTTACAGATTGAATAGTAATTGATTCCAAGCTCATGATATAACTGTCTTTTAATAGGTTCAAGTGGTTCCAGCTCCAGAGAGACCCCCTGACCCCAGAGCCACGGACGATCCCGCACCCGTCCTTGTCGGTGATGGCGGCGCAGCTGCTCAGTGTCCCGTCTCTGCCCCCGCTCTCCAACCGAGCCTTCCCGAAAAGGTGCGGGAGGGTGCCAGGGCCCCACCGCTGCACCTGCGCGCCGACTCTGTCCCCGTGTACTCCTCCTGTGGCTTTCCCATGCCAGTTCCTCCCACCAGGACAATGGAGAGTAAGATCGCCGCTGCCCTCCACTCCAGCGGCGCAGATGCTCCCAGCAGTTCCGGTTACCATCCCTTTGTCACCGCTTCCTCAGCCTCTGTGGAGGACGGTCTGCCTTTACCACTTCCCGTCCCACAACCTAAGCATGCTTCACAGAAAACAACTTACTCCACCTTTGCCAGGCCTGATGTCACCCCTGAACCCTTTGGGCCAGAAAACTGTGTGCATTTCAGTATGAATCCCAACTGCCAGTACCGTCCGCAGAGCGTACCTCCACATCATAATAAATTGGAGCAACACCAAGTGTACGGTGCCAGATCAGAACCACCAGCCTCCATGGGACCTCGTTATAACACATACGTGGCCCCGGGAAGAAATGCGTCTGGACACCACTCCAAACCATGCAGCCGAGTGGAGTATGTATCTTCTTTAGGCCCCACAATTAGGAGTAGTTGTTACCCTGAAGATATTCCCCCGTACCCTACCATCCGGAGGGTACAGTCTCTCCATGCCCCTCCGTCTTCCATGATTCGCTCTGTTCCCATTTCACGGACAGAAGTCCCCCCAGATGACGAACCAGCCTACTGCCCAAGACCCCTGTACCAATATAAGCCATATCAGTCCTCGCAGGCCCGCTCAGATTATCACGTCACTCAGCTTCAGCCTTACTTCGAGAATGGTCGGGTCCACTACCGGTATAGCCCCTACTCCAGTTCTTCTAGTTCTTATTACAGTCCAGAAGGAGCCCTGTGTGACGTGGATGCCTACAGCACGGTACAGTTGAGGCCCCTCCACCGCCTCCCCAATCGCGATTTTGCCTTCTACAATCCTAGGCTGCAAGGAAAGCACTTGCACACTTACGCTGGTTTGCTCCCACGTCCCCGGGCCAATGTGACTGGCTATTTCTCTGGTAATGACCACAATGTAGTCAACATGCCTCCAGCTGCTGATGTAAAGCACACATACACCTCGTGGGATCTCGAGGACATGGAAAAATACCGAATGCAATCCATCCGGAGAGAGAGCCGTGCTCGGCAGAAGGTGAAGGGGCCTGTTATGTCCCAGTATGATAACATGACCCCAGCCGTGCAAGATGACCTGGGTGGGATCTATGTCATCCACCTCCGTAGTAAATCAGATCCTGGGAAAACTGGACTTCTCTCGGTGGCAGAGGGAAAGGAGGGGCGGCATCCAACCAAGGTCGTCAGTCCTGAGGGAGAGGACCGCTTCTATAGAAAGCATCCAGAGCCAGAGTTCGATAGAGCCCACCACCATGGAGGATATGGCAATGGACCGCCAGAGAAACCCACTCTCCCTCAGAAGCAAAGTAGCCTCAGGAACAGGAAGCTTCACGACATGGGTTGTAGTCTCCCTGAACACAGAGCCCATCAGGAAGCAAGCCATAGGCAGTTATGTGAATCAAAAAATGGGCCGCCGTACCCGCAAGGAGCTGGCCAGTTAGATTATGGGCCCAAAGGGATTCCAGACACTTCTGAGCCAGTCAGCTACCATAACTCTGGAGGGAAATATGTTACCTCGGGGCAGGAGACTCTCAGACTGAACCACAAAGAGGTGAGGCTCTCCAAAGAGCTCGAGAGGCCTCGGGCTAGGCAGCCTCCTGCTCCAGAGAAACACTCCAGAGACTGCTACAAGGAGGAGGAGCACCTCCCCCCGTCAGTAGTCCCACCCCCGAAACCGGAGAGGAGTCATAGCCTGAAACTCCATCATACTCAGAACGTGGAGAGGGACCCCGGTGTGCTGTACCAATACCAAACACATGGCAAGCGCCAGAGCAGTGTGACTGTTGTGTCCCAGTATGATAACCTGGAGGGTTACCACTCCCCACCCCAGCACCAGCGAGGAGGCTTTGGAGGAGGAGCAGTGGGAACCTATGTGCCCTCTGGCTTTCCCCACCTGCAAAACAGGACATATGCTACAGCTTTGGGCCAGGGGGCCTTCCTGCCCACAGAGTTGTCTTTGCAGCACCCTGAAACACAGATTCATGCAGAATGAGCCCTGGAGCAATAGAGTTGAAGCAGCCTCTGCTGGACAGTGGACTGTTCTATTTTTTTCAGTAACCAAAAAGATTAAAAAAAAAAAAAAAAAGCTACAATCCCCCCCCTCCCCGACCACATTAAAAACAACAACAACAACCAAGAAAAATCACCATCTTTTTCCCCTTCCCTGCTTCATCACCATCTCTTCCATCTCTAGGCTGTGATTTTTGTCATTAAAAGAGATCTGAATGATTGTAAAGCACTGTGTTGAAAACCTAGTGAAGAAATTTGTCACAGACCATACTTGCCATATGGGGCTAATGTGTCAGAGCCTGAGGACTGCCTTTAACTGAATTTGAATTTAACCTTGTCCTTCTTAATATTTGCTACACAGCGCAAAGCGGTTTATGTCTAGTTCCCGGTAGGCTTTTGCATTTCTGTTGCATTTCTACTAACTTTCTCAGTAGCCATGCAGCTTGCCCAGGTTGACACTTGGTTTTTGTCCCTTTATTCTCCCTGACTTTGAAGGGTTTTGTGCATTAAGTTACAGTGGAGAAAAACTTCTCCCTTATTCTTCGGATGAGTCTGTCAGACAATTAGCACATTATAATTTAAAAAATAATAATAAAGGAATGAAGACTTTAAGCATCTAATAAAAACCCATTGTAAAATGTCAGGCCATTTAGATCCAGGCTGAACCACGTTCTTTACATTTTTACTTCTCAGAGTCGCTGCTCGCAGTTCGGTAAGCAGGCTGACGTCAGCTGCAGAAGGGATTCTAAAGTCAGGAGTAAAGAAGCTTCTTAGGCAGAAGTCTGTGAACGTCGTTAGCACTGTAAAACCCTGTCAGTGCTTCTAACGTGTCGCCTGCCTTCATTTTTTTTTTTTCCTCAATAATATTTGGTAAATAGTAATCCTGGTAAAACATTTCATGCCATTTGTTCTCCTAAAGCAACTTTTTTTTTTTCTTTTTCCCAAATTGGGGTGGGGGAAAAAAACCCAGCATGACTTGACTGGATAAATACACATAATTTATCATGATTACACATTTACGTGTTGATTTTTGTTTCTGAACCAGAGTACAGGTTTCTTGGGGACTGTTAAAGAGGCGATGAATTATTTGTTAGCCGAAAGCCCCTGCCATAGTTTCACTCCGCACACCGCCCCATCTCAGCGGTCAGAATCCCGGGCTGTGACCGTGTGCATCCTAAGGGACCTGTGTGCCGTGTGCACACTGTCTTCCTGTAATTGCCATTTTTACACCAGCATTTCAGGTCTAGTCCTTACAAGCCCGTGGGCATGTTACATGTGTGGAATACCCTGGACTTCCTTTTGAAAGTCACGTTCTGGTCGGACAGCTGTCTGGCCTGCCTCCACTCCCATCTTCTCAGCAGCACCCCCTCCCCCTGCCCCAACAATGTCCACACCAGACCGACCAGGCCGTCCTGTACTTACAAACAAGTTTAGATTGTCCTTGCATTCCATAACTCTCAATCATACTTGAGTTTTATACATTCCCATGTTTTAAAAGCTCAGTTTATAGAAGACACTAGGAGAATATCATTCCATTTACTGGATGATTGCTGCTCTGGCTTTTTAAAACTTGGAATTAACTTTTCTTTAGAGCAAAGGAAGAAATCTTTTTAAGAGGCTAAATTCATGCTGCTATTATTGCTGTGAAGTTGTATAAAGATTAGGATTCATGCCAGTTTTTTTTTTAATTTAAAAGAAAATCATGTGATTGCATTTTAAGGGTTTATATTTAGAAAAAAATAAAGTTTTAAGAACACATTTATTTATATGTGGAAATACTCTATAAGGTTTTGTTTTGTCTCCCCAGAGTTGATGAGAGGAATTCCTTCAGTAAAGATCACGGTAGCAGTCTGGACATACTGACCCATGAAAGGTCTGTGGGCATGTCTCTCCATCAAGCACGCAGACCCAATGGGCAGAATCACAGGGTTAGGGAACCTGATAGGATATTTCCTTTTAGCACAGAAACACATCAGGTGCTACATACAGGAGTTGGATCCTTGGCGAATATGCAGCGCTTTTTTTTCTTTTCTTTTTTAACCTTAACCATCTTGTGTCAGGTAGTCAGGTAGGCAATCCATGGCCCCTCTGAGATCACACACACCCCGTAAGTTCTCACCAGCAGCGTGGAGCACAGGAAGGAGCCGGTATGATGAGGAGGTACAGATGGCGTTAGTAACTGAGAGCCCAGAAGGAAGCCGCTGAAGAGTCCTGTCCAGTTTTAAAATTTGTGGATTTGTGGTCACACACATTGTTTACTCCTAAACCTAAATCTATCTCATGAATACTGAGGTGAATTCCTCAAAACAATTACTTTATTCATGTCCTGAGGGCTTAGAAATATCAGGTGAATATTTGGAATACAGAATAATGACCCCAATTACTGGTATAATTGTGAAACACCAACTTAGGTAAAATCCAGAGTTATTTCATTTAATGTATGTGGAAACGGCCTTAACTTTGGATCCAGTTTTTTGAGGGACTTTGCCTTTAACTTTTCCCAGAAATCGCACGGCAGGTCACTGTGAACCGGGTGAACTCAGCACCGTTCACCTTGTGTGTGACTTCACAGTAATATTCAAATTATGATCAAGGAAATGGAGCTGCCTAATGCATTAAACCCATAATTTAATTCTACTGGTATTTTTATAACCATGTCTCCAAATTTTATTTTATTATTATTATCATCATTATTATTTTGCAAAACTCTGATGTAACAGTTTGGTTTGATTGAAACAAATATTCCCTGGATGTCTGGCCAGAGACTTTGCTAATAGCCCCCGAGATGCCATTTTCTTATTAATTTCACCCGATACTTAAACTGTTTTAAGGATGGTCCCATGGATAGGGCCTGCACACTTTCATGATGGCAAAGCATTTTTTTTTTTTAATTGGGGTCAGGTTGAAAAAGTCTAGCACTGACTCTGTCGACAGGTGGGACCGTCCATCAGTGTGAGCGGATGTAGAATGGGAGGAAACCACATTTGAAGCAGCAATGGATGCATACAATGTAAATTGGAAATTTGCCCCTTGAGTTTAAAAATTAGGAGCCTGCAAAGTCCATCTGTCTGTTCCCAGCTCTGTTCGTCAGTCATCCTTCATTATGTTGGCAAAGTTATCATCTGAGCAGTGTGTGTAAGGAAATAATGAAAGCAAACGTATGTCAGAAAGTTTACTTCCAAATGGTTAGAGGCATGTGATTTTCAGTACTGTGTGTTACGGAAACGTCAGGAATGGTATATTTTAATGTCTGTGTGCACAGAGGGTCTTTTTTCCTTTCCTGATTAGTACTGTTAGTGTTCAAAGAATAAAACTGGTTGTTTTACAGTTTAGATTCTAAGGTAGCAAAACCTGATTTTCCAGCCACGACCTGCATGAGAGAAGCACCCTAGGAAGTCTTAGATCATGCTTTTGAGTTCTTAACTTTAATTTATATAGTGTTTTTTTTTATGTTTTAATATTTTTGTGAACTGGTGTAAATTGTTAATGCATATAAGCTTGTGTATTTTTGTAAATAGTTTTGTGATTTATTTCCTGACCCATATGTAAATATTTAGAGTCTCATTTCTTCAAGACTTATTTGAAGCTGAGTTGTGGGCTTGGGTTTTGTTTGTTTCTTGTTTTGGTTGGGGGAGGGGGGGAGAGAAGAGATTTTGTACTCCAATAATCCAGATGGAGATATCTTGTGGTTTAAAGCAAATGTCCCACTGAAAGCAATTCAAATATCAACAAAATTATTTCAGGTTAAAACAGACTTCTTTGTGTATGTGTTTCCTTTTTGCTGTAATATGACTATAACAAAATGGGATAATCGGGGATATTCAAAAAGGTAAGTGTGTAACAAAGATTATTATACTGAACGGTATATATTATTTGAGGGAAGGGTTTAATGGCTCCTGTTTTATCTATCTGCCACAGTGTGCTGCTGGGCCAGATTTTCCCCAGGTCAGACAGGTTGCTCCGTGCTGGGAAGTGTAGCCAGGAACCCACACCTGGCTTCTGTGGCCTGACTCCCAAGCTGCCAGTTTTCAGGAAACTGGATTGGCTTCTGAGCTCAGTGATTCTTCACAGGGGAGTTCTAAATAGCAACCATATTTCTGAAGATTCCCTCGAAGCATCTCAGACATCCTGTTGACTTTTCAGAGAGAAGAGACCAGAAAAGAGTGTCCTCTCCTACACTCCGTGGCAGGCTGGTTTGTGGCAACACAGGTTCTGCACATAACCTAGCCACCTGGCCAGGGATCTAGAGCACATTGCTGTGCAGAAGTTCTTCTCAAAAATATGTCCACATTGGTCACTTTTTTTTTTTTAAATAATATTTATTTGACAGAGATCACAAGTAGGCAGAGAGGCAGGCGGAGATTGAGAGAGAAGCAGGCTCCCCAGTGAGCAGAGAGCCCAATGCGGGGCTCAATCCCAGGACCCTGGGATCATGACCTGAGCCAAAGGCAGAGGCTTAACCCACTGAGCCACACAGACGCCCCTGGCCACGGTTTTTTGAAGGAGGAAAAGACCCCATGATATTCAGCTATTGAAATCTTAGTTTTTCTATTGGGAGTCATAAATTACTAATCATTCTGCATTCTGAATTACGGGGGCCTTTCCTTTTTGTCTGTAGCAGGAAAAGTTGCCTGGTTAGTACAGACAACCCTGGCGAGCCTGTGTTTTCTGTGTACCTGCACACCATGTTGCAGACTAAAAGCAAAGGAGCAAACTTTGCTCTCAGCGAACGTTCAGACTTGAGCATGTGTTCCCATGTAAGTGGTTCTGATGGGATTAAAGAAAAGACCTGTATGACATTCCCACCAGGTCTTCTTTACCAGTAATTTCTTTACTAGTAATTTCATCACCAAATTTCCTTCATACTGATGAAAGTATAGTACTTATTTTTTAAAAATGTGTATTTTTCATTGAAGAATCAGTGGCAGATACATTCATGGCATTTGAGATTTTACTTAAATGTGGTGTTCTATGGAGAAAGGCACATACATTTTGAAATACTGTTGATTCCCCATTGCAGCAAAACCGTGGGCATCTACAAACACCCAAACTAAGACATTCGAGTTGGTTGTGATTCTCAAATAGTTGAGAGTGTATGTCTTGAAAATTGTGAGGCTTAATTTTTAAGTATTTTAATTAGAACACTGCCAGCATATTTTTTTAAATTTTTTACTAACATATAATGTATTCTTTGTTTCAGGGGTACAGGTCTGTGATTCATCAGTTTTA